ATAGAGCTCACTTGTTCTACTAATTAATTACTTAGGACAGAAATGAAAATAAAAGTTAGTAAAAATAGTATTCAAAATATATTAAGAAATGGAGAAATTCCATGTATATAAGGGATCTAGTCAGGTTCTCACTCAGGTTCCCTCACTGAAATTAGACCTAGTTCATATAAACACTAGTAGTATCATTAATTAACATTCAATTTTACAAATCAAAATTCCTGTATTAATAACATAGACCCTCCATCACATGTGAAATAAAATTAAATGATGTTATTTTAAGCAATGAAAAATCATTTTGGGTAGGATATCACTATGGCTTACAGATTTGAAGTTTAAATTGTATGAAAGATGGGAACTTGTAACCCTCTAAAATGCTTGAAGAGATCCTTAGCATCACCAGCTCCCACCTTCTTCATCTTTCCCAGCTTCTATCAGTAGTTTGAATAAAGCTAACCCACATGGTGAAGAAAATGGTCATGAGATGGAGAAATTGGAGCTGGGAGGGCACTGCTTACATCCTAGCTAGAGGAAAGAGAACTCCACTCTCAGACCACTTAGTGATCTAATGAAAGGGCTACATAGTGCACCTTACTTAACCTCCTCAAACCAGAACGCATCTTGATGCCCACAAATACAAAGTTAATGTGACTGGCAAAACTGGGTCATGTGCCAATTCCAATGGCACTGCCAGAATCACTGTGGCTAGAATAAACAAAAGAAATTTCTCTTCCTAGAAATTTTGAAGAAGTGGCATTTGGCAATAATAAACAAAACAAAACTAAATAGATGTAAACAAAACAAGCACTTGTCTACTAAAACTAACTCCAAAGATGGCAGTGAGAAGTAATAGTATCCAGAATATCATTTAAGAAAAACAATTAGTAAATGATGCATAGAAATTAATCAACATAGTAGCCTATAGAAATTTTATTTGGAATTACTAGAAAGTGAAGAAATTTTTGTATCACACCAGGAATTAGGAGCCAATGTATTTAATAATAATATTTATGGAAATGTTGTCACCTTCAGAATGCTATGATTTAAATTTTTTTTTAAAATTATAGTTGGCATACAATACAGGTGTAATACATAGTGATTCAATGTTTATATATCTTATGATGAGATCAACACACTAAGTCTAGTAACATCACATTTTCTTTTTCTTTAATGACACAGGTGAGATTGGATTAGGGGCCCACTCAACTCCAGTATGACCTAATTTTAACTTAAATAATTATATCTACTATAACTCTATTTCCAAATATGGTCACAGCCCAAGGACTAGGGGTTATTATTTTAACATATGAATTTTGGGAGGACACAAATCAGCCAATAACAAAGAGTAAGCCAAAATATCAATCATTGTTGAGTACAAAGTAATTTTCAGTTGCAGAAAGATTTTGAAACTATACCTCTCACTCATCCTATCTTTACAATTTACATAAAGATGCTTTCCAGGAAAATTAGGGAGCTATCTGTAAAATGGGAAGATATGAGGTATGAGGAGCAATGAATCCAAAACAGGAGCGTGGTACAGGGTATTCCCAACTAGGAACATGAAAAGTAACCCATTCAGGTTGGAGTTGCAGAATCAAGGCCACTGAGAGGGAAATCTCCCAGGAAAAAAAAAAGTAGTTAAATCAATGTCTATTGAAATACTTCACATTGCAGGTTTTTGGAAAAAATAATCCAAGTTGTCTTAGTCATTAAAGAGAACTTTATGAAAGCAACCGAAGTGTCCTACAATAGATGGCTGGATAAAAAAGCTGTGGTACATATATACAATGGAATATTACTCAGCTATAAAAAGAGATGAAATACTGCCATTTGCAACAACATGGATGAACCTCTAGATAATCATGCCAAGTGAAATAAGCCAGATAGAAAAAGCTGAAAACCACATAATATCACTTCTAAGTGAGATATAAACCTAAAAGCAACAAACGAACAGGACAAACAAACAGAGACTCATGAACATGGACAATAGACTAGTGGTTATCAGAGGGTGGGGATGAGGCAGTGGGGAGGGAAGTAGTTGGGGTAAAAGGGGTCAAATATATGGTGACCGAGAGCAATCTAACTATGGGAGGGTAACACACAATGCAATATATATATGCCTTACTGTTAAATTGTACACCTGAAACTTACTGGATTTTGTTAACCAATGTCACCAAAAATAAAAAAAAATAAAGAAAAAGGAAGGAACTTATTGGCTCTTACAACAATAAAGATGTTTGTCTGCTTTTATATGAGATGTTTGAATAACTAAATTTTGTCACTGGGGAAAATTTTGTTTTAATTTTCGCTCTTGAGATTCTGTGTCTCATCTTCAGGTGTACCACATAGTGATTCCCTATATGGATCCAAGATACCTTTTAGCAGTTCTCAAGATTAGTTGTGTCCAAGTTCATACTCATAAAGGAAGAAATATGTCTTTAGCACATCTTAAGATTAATTTTGATTATATGCAAAGACCTGATTGAACCCAAGAGGAGATTTCATTGTATATGTACAAGAAAACAAAAAATATAAATTTATAGGAGATAGCTTTAATGTTTGTATAGAATAATGGAAAACTGGCAATGTCAGATGAAAGATGCTACTTCTTATACTTTGTATTCAATGCTCTATTTCTTTAACTAGATACTGTCTTAGAGAGGTTCCCAGAAACTTAATAAAGAGGTTAATATTGTGCAATAAAGAGATCTAATTCTTTTAATCTAAAAAGTACATTGTAATAAGATCTACAAGATATATACATAATTATGCAAAAGAAAAATAACTATAGAATTGGTAGAATATAAGTGATCCCTCAATCTGTTTTGCATGAAGAGTATTGATGGGGTTATTCTTGTGAGCTGAAAACTAAAATAAAAATAATAACAATAATAATAACAAAAATAATTGACCACTTACTATGTATAGGACACTATTCTAATTGCCTCAGTAACTTATAAAATTGGGTTACATATTCACTCACTTGGAGATATAATGATGCTTTCACAGTGTGTTAACTATAAATGACTAATTATTTTATCTCCACTTTTTACTTTTATTTATAAAAACTTCAGTTTGCCTCTATATTCCTTGAGCTTTTAAGTTTCTGGAACAAAATCTAGAAGTTTGTGAGCAGTCTCTGAGGACTCATTCCCAGAGCTCTGTGTAAAATTGGGATTAAATGGTATATATCCTTAGAAAAATCTCTTAGGTACTAGAAGCATAATATAAACATGCCCTCCATGTGATGCTCAAAGAGAGGAGTAAATACTGTGCTGTTTGATGCTTTATGTAAGTGTCAATTGCTATGGAAGAGATCAGTGATTTTTAGAGAATAAATGTGAGAGTTAATGGAAAGATACATGGGCAGAGCAGGCTGAGAGCTGGACAACGTGGCCAACCAGGGAGGAAAAATAAAATGTGTGTGTATGTGTGTGTGTTTAAATGGTGATAAGATTATCTTTAAAATCTCTTAGAAAGATCCAAAGCATTTAATATATTCTTGTCATTTACACTGGATGAAATAAGTAAATTCACAGCAAGAGAAAGGAATGAGGCTAGTCGGGACTTACTGTTGAGAGAGGGCTTCTAGTGTTGCTCTAGAATAAGCAACAGGGACACAATAACCTTGGCTTTGGCCAGCATCTTTCTGCTAGGCAATGTTTTTTAAACTGGCCAGGATGTCTATAGTTTTATAGAATACAAGTAATAGCCAGTGCACCTGGCAGCACTCGTTCTCTCTTGGACTGAACTCAGCAAAGATAGTTTATTATTATTTTTTAACCTTGGTATGTTTTCTATATTATAAAACAGATAATTAAAATGATAAAAAAGTGAAACTATACTAAGGACAAAAGGAATGATTTCTATGCTTTAATTGCAATTGCAGTACCATACACCCTAGGCTGTTTCTTTACCTCATTCTGAGTGGCTTGATTTGTTCTGCAGCATTTGGAAGTCATTGTTTAAGTATCTTTCTCTATCCCCTTTAGATAATTGCACAAGTGGATTCTTCTCTTCGAGAAAGCTGTAAAAAACAACTTCTCTAGTACCCTGAGGTCTTCAGGGTTTTCTATCCTGATTTTCAGGGTCTTGAACTGGTAGGGGAAGTAACCAAGCAAGTGTTTGTACCCTAGCATTAGTAAAATTAACACAGGTAAAATTAACAGGTGCTCTGAGAGTACCTGATATGATGTGGATGCTGAACAAAAGTGGTCAAATGGCATTAGACAACTCTCCTTCACCCTTTCCCAAATGATACTCTGCAGTATGTACTCTGCAGTATGTAAATTATGAACAATGGCTGTTTCTGCTCCTGGCCAAGCATCTCAAGGAGACAGCAACTGTCTGAGAACATGGGACTGTGTCTCTTATAATCTGATTTGCTATCTTTGAGAGGCTACTGAACTTGGGTCAGAGTTTTTACATATGTATCTCTATGGTGAATAATAAGGAATCAGAAGAATTCAGGCTTTCATTGTGTGAGTACCTATACACTTGGATCTGTGATTCATTTTTATTATGTATTGCTTAAAGGCATTTTTGACTGCCTCTGTAGTGTATCAACTTGGCTCTCGGTGCAGTCTCAATGTTTTCAGTGTCACTCATAGAGAGTGCATCTCCTAGAGTGGAAGCACATCCTACTCTCTTCCAAAGTGAATGGCAAACTAATTATTAGAGATCTGCACTGAGCTTGCTACAAGCTTACACATTTGGAATTAGAACTCAATCAGCAGGCAGAATGAAAACTCTTAATATATCCTTAATTTGGCCTATTAAATGGCTATGGGGCTGATATAATATGTCCATCAGTAAGAGGCCTGCTCATATATTAAACATGCTATTAACTCTATGCTGAAACTAGCAATTGGCACACTATCTCCTTCTTCCTCTGATCTCTGTTCTCCTGATATACCTCTCTCTCTCTCTCCTCCCGCTCTCTTTCATTTTTTTCTTTACAGGAGAAGCAGCTTGACTTCTTTTAATCTTTGACCAGTGACAACATGCTATATCTCAACAGGAGCCTTTTTCACCCAGCCACATTTTTCCTCATTGGAATCCCAGGTCTGGAAGAAGTCCATGCATGGATCTCTCTGCCTTTCTGCTCTGTTTACCTTGTGGCTTTACTGGGCAATGCCACAATCCTGCTAGTCATCAAGGCTGAGCAGACCCTTCGGGAGCCCATGTTCTACTTTCTGGCCATCCTTTCAACAATTGATTTGGCCCTTTCTACAACCTCCACACCTCGTATGCTGGGTATCTTCTGGTTTGATGCACACGAGATTAACTTTGGAGCTTGTGTGGCTCAGATGTTTCTGATCCATGCCTTCACTGGCATGGAGGCTGAGGTCTTACTGGCTATGGCCTTTGACCGTTATGTGGCAATTTGTGCTCCACTCCATTATACAACCATCCTGACATCCCGGGTGCTGGTGGGTATCAGTATGTGCATATTAATTCGTCCAGTCCTGCTTACACTTCCCATGATCTATCTCATCTACCGCCTACCTTTTTGTCAGGCTCGGATAATAGCTCATTCCTACTGTGAGCATATGGGCATTGCAAAGTTGTCCTGTGGAAATATTCGAATCAATGCTATCTATGGGCTCTTTGTTGTTTCCTTTTTTGTCTTGAACTTGGTCCTTATTGGTATCTCCTACGTTTACATTCTTCGTGCTGTCTTCCGCCTCCCATCCCAGGATGCACGGCTAAAAGCCCTAAGCACGTGTGGTTCTCATGTTGGAGTCATCTGTGTTTTCTATATTCCCTCAGTCTTCTCTTTCCTCACCCACCGATTTGGACACAACATACCTCGCTATATTCACATTCTTGTTGCCAATCTCTATTTGGTTATCCCACCCTCGCTCAACCCCATCATTTATGGTGTGAGAACAAAACAGATACGAGAGAGAGTTCTCTGTGTCTTTATTAAAAAATAAGACTCTTATCACATTCTTTTACTAATGATTTTGTAAGAAAGGTTTTGTGTTTGTGCCTTATTGAATATCTCCTGGTCCTAATCTGTTGCTGCCAGGTTGTGATACAAGATGATTTTTCTTAGCTTTGACTAATCAATTTTAAGACATGTGACAACTTCATTGCATCTCAAGTTAAAAGCTAATGTGCTATCCTGAAAGGAAGTTGTATGGCCTCAGTGTGCACATCTTTGTACAGAGTCCTTGATGGCATAAGGCTGCTTCAAGAACATATCTGGGTCTTCTGTGCTTTATAATTAGAGAAATGCAGCACTGAAAATTTAACCTACTTAATTAATTAACCTACTTAATTAATTAATTAACTATTTTATTCATTCATGCATGTGTTCATTCAACTTATATTAATTTTTTATTATATATCTTGAATCTTTTTAATTTCTAGGCATATATTAATGCACTGAACTGTACAAATGACTTGCCTCATGGAGCTTGCATTCTATTGCTTTTAAAAATAAGCCAAGTTCATGGGTTCAAAAAATTCATTGCCAAATTTGTAGCTTGAATAGGAATAGTCTGCCAAATATGTAAGACTCAGAGGAATGATAGGCAAAACAAACATATAATAAAAAACTATTTCTCACTAATATCAACAGTACCATCATTGACTGCCTCTCTGTGCTCAGATCCATAGCATAAGCATAAAGTGGTTTTGTAATCAAATTACAGATAGTATTTCTATCCATGTGATGCATTCTGGCCTTTGCCTATCATTTTAATCAATTTTATTCAGAATTTACATTTGACCCGAAAATATTCTATCCCCAAATCCAAGATCTTTCATCCTAGACCCATGATCTATTTCTAGTTCCCCCGCTGACTTTAATGTACAAGATACAAAAAGTATTTTTTAAAATATGAGACTTTGGGCTTTCAAAAGATTAATTCAATAATAAAATTTACCAAGGACGAAACAACAAGGAACTTTTGCACTATCAAACTTGTCACATTTAAAAATTTAATATTATTTTCTCTTTTTCAGACTTTAAAAATAAGAAACTAAAGTTTATAGCAAATATCTTTGTTCTTAAAACTCACAAATTAACAACTTTTAACATTACACTCATCTCAAAGATAATGAACTATATACAGAATTATGGTTGAAATCACCTTTGACACTGTCCCACACATTTTCTCTCTTATTTTTCCAGAGGCAAAGTCAATCGTGTGTTTTTCTAACATCACAATGCAAAATATTTAGTTTACTACCAATCACAGTATTTTAATTAAATAATTTATTATTAATTTAAATAGATTAAAATTTTTTTTTGTTTTATAACATTGGTTTTATTTATGTATTCATCTATTAGTCATATCATTATTTAATTAGAAAATATGCTGTGCATTCTTTCACTTATTTTTTGTACACTTTTAGATAATTTACCCAGGTTTTATACTTTAAGATAGAATTATTGGGTAGCAGGATTATAATCAACTAGATCACATTTCTGCTTTCTTGATCTTTGCTTTTGATCACTTTTTTTTTAATTTCACATTTTCCAGTATGTCCTTTTTTCCCTGACTTTTGCACCTTCCTAATTAAACTTTGTTTTTTAACATAAAACATTAGCTTTCTAACAAACAGAACTGTAAGATAATAAATTTATATTGATTTAAGGGGCTAAATTTCTGGTAATTTAACAGCAATATTAGAAAACTAATATAGCTTTGTTCTTAAGATTATCGCCATGGGTGCGGTAGACAAAGAAAGGTAGAGAAAATGATCTGTGATGAAGTGGCAACAAAGTATCAGGCAGATGTTTATATACAGGCATCTGGAGCTGGAGCCCAGTCCTGAATTAAGGTGACTTGGGTAAGCTTTTATATTGCTTCACCAAGTCATACTAGGGGCTTCTCTGGGAGAGGGATTTGATCTTGGGCTAGGCAGTTCTTGCTAGGCAAGAGAAGAACCGAAGAGAGACAGCTGAGGGCTCTCAGTAAGATTCCCAGTAGTTGGAGAAATTAGTACTTCAGATATGAAAGATGGATATAAATAACACACTGTGGTATCCACCACAAAACCCAACTAGGGTTTTGAGTAGTGGAGATATTACTGTACAACTCAATCTAATTTGTTAGGAATTTGCCCTTTGTTTCTTTTTGGTCTGGCTTAAATCTTCAAGACCTAGAAAAAGATTCATATCCACCTCGTATTTGAAATATAACTATACCTTGTGTTGGCAGGTATACGCTAGGCTGCTTATTTTGTCTTTTAATAATTGTTCCTATAGATTCTGAAGTTTACATATATGAATTATTTTTAATATCAATTTTAACATATCTAGAGTTTTTTTTTGGGGGGGGTGACAATAGTTACCTAGACAGCCACCTTGACAACAAAGACTGTCACATTATTTATTAAAAGCATGAGAAACCAAATTTTTTATCATAGTCTACTTGACAATATGTCTAAGTGATGTTCTTAGTAAATATTCATTTATGATAGTTTGCATTGTTAAATTGTTGTGTGATCATTATTTAAACATTTTAAACTTCATAAATTAGAATGAGAATAAATGTTACCTATATAATAATAGCCCCCCAATTTTGACATTGTATGTTATTTCAAAACGTGTTCTGTATGATTGACTTTTTATTGGAATTATATAATATATTGTTTTATATATTTCAAGTGTATTTATAAATAAAAGTGTGCACATTATGTGTAGATTCCTTATCTACTTTTATTTTAATGTAAGTATAATAATATGTTTGTATGAAATGCTATTTTGTCCATTTAAATATTTATTTTGTTTTTGCATTTATTCAAAACAGCATAATAAAAATTTTTGCAGGCAAAGATCATTTTATATTTTAAATAGATAATATAATTATTCAACATTTCCAATGATATTTATTTCATCTATACCCATTTAAAATCTCTCATTTTCTATTAGCTGGTAGTAATCCTTTAGCATTTCTTGTTGTTTAGGTCATCTGGCAATAGAATCTGTTGGTTTTTGTTTATCTCAAAATATCTTTATAGATATTTTTATATTTTTCTAGATATATCTTTACAGATAACTCAAGAAGAAAAAATCTGAATAGACATTTAAAATGTAAAGAAATTGAGTTAGTAATTGATCCTAGGTTCAGATATTTTCATTGATGAACTCATATGTTTAAAGAGGAATTAATATCTCACAATACTGCATAAACACTTCCAAATCATATGAGTAGAAAATACTTCCCAATTCATCCTATGAGGCCATCACCCTGATATCTAAGCCAGACAAACATATTACAAGAAAGAAAACAACAGAGTGATGTACCTTATGAATACAGACATAAGAATACTGACATAATATTAGCAAACTTAGTCCAGCAACATATAAAGAGGATTATACATCATAATTAAGTGGTATTTATCGTAGGAATTCAACATTGATTTATCACAATAAAATCAATCAAAGTATTACACTTCATTAATAAAACAAAGGATTAAACTATATGATCATCTCCATATAGAAAAAGATTTCGACAAAAATCTTTTGACAAAATTTTTGACAAAAATTCAACACAAAATAATTCAGTCATTTTGGGAAACAGTTTAACTATTCATCAAGATATGAAACTTAGAGTTACCATATGATCCAGCATTTCCACTCTGAGCCATATACCCAAGAGAATTTAAAACACATGTCCACAACAAGCTTGTATGTGAATGTTCATAGTAACATTCGTCACAATAGCTCCAAAGTGGAAAAAATCCAAATGATAAATGAATAAACAAAGTACATTATATTCATACAATGGAATATTATTTGTCATAAAAGGGGTTAAGTACTGATGCATACTATGAAATAAATGAATCTTGAAAACATTATGTTCTGTGAAAGAAACCAGACACCAAGGGACACATATTGTATGATTCTATTTGTATGAAATAATCAGAATAGGCAAATCCACAATGACAGAATGGAGATTAATAATTGCCATCAGCTGTGGGGATGAAACACTAGGGAATGACTACTAAAGGGCATAGGGTTTTTTTGTGGGGTGATGAAAACATTTTGAAATTATATACTGTAATGGTTTCATTGCTTCTGTGAATATTATGTCCTTAGCATCCCAGCTATCTCTGTAAACTGGAGACCAGAAGCATTTCTATGGTTAGAGAGACCCACTCACTGAAGTGAGGGAAAGTTTGGGGTTTAAACCCTACTTAAGTGAGAGGCAGTTTTCAAAAGAAGTAGTGCCACCTCCACATAGATATATTTTCAAGTGTGTATGTAGTAACATTTGCATGGGTTGTAAGTGAAGACCTTACAACAGTCTTCTGGAACCTTCAACAGGCTTGTCGAAACACAAAATAGGCTAAAAATCCAAAAACAGAAAAAGGAAGCAGTATAATGTATCGATTCATAGCACAGATTTTGGAATCAAACATTTGGGTTCAGTTTTCATTTTTGTTACTTTCTAGATGTACGGCCTTGGGAAAGTTGCTAAAATTTTCTATAGCTCATTTTTTCATTCGTGTAATGGGAATAAACATAGTATCTATGTCATAGGGCTGCTGTTTTGAAGATTAAAGAAGTTAATGTGTTTGAACATACTCTGCACATACCTCTTAATACTTATATTTAATAATACGTTAAATAAAAGCAGTCCTTCCTGTAGCAATGGGATAATAGCTGCTGGTAGGAAGATCTCACAGGAAAAAAAAAAGGATTAAGCATATATCTTTAGGACACTTTAAATTACAAGAAAAAAGCACCCGATTTTACTAAAATGTTAAAAGAAATTTTGTCTCACTTTAACACGAAATAAAAATGTTAGTCTGAATTCCTTGCCACTAAGAAGCTGGTCTGATTTTTTGTCTCTAAGGAATATTTCTTTCAGTATTTTGGAGTTGACATTCTGCAACACATTTTGATCCTAAGGATGACTCTTACTACGGTCCTGAGACTTCTATCTGCAGCAACTCAGGAATAGATGTTTCATCA